ATAGATCTGACAGCCAGATACAGAACCTTTTAGAAGACAGAAGCAAACCTCTTCCATAAAAACAAGTATTTGGCAGTTGTCTCAAAGGGATGTCCAATAACTAGCCTTATTTCACTCAGAACAATTTCGTCAGCTTCATACAGCATGACCAATCACCCTAGTTTACTGAAGACTGAGGGTTTCCTGGGCAAGGGACTCTCTGTGCTAAAAGCAAGATAGTCCTGAACCAACTGGGATGAATTAAGTCTCTATTTCCATGCCTTCGTGCAAATCATTAAAAGGTATCCCTCTGTTATGGGCTGAATAATGTCCTCTGCCCTGAAATTCCTATGTTTAAGTCATAGCCCCCAGTACCTCAGAATGTAACTGGATCTTGAGATAGGGTTTTTAAAGAGGTATATAAGTTAAAATGAGGACAGTGGGATGGGTCTTAATCGAATATGACCGATGTCCTTATAAGAAGAGGTGATTTGGACATGGACACAGAGGGACAACCACATGAGAACAGGGAAAGACAGTCATCTGCAAGCTGAAGAGAGAGGCCTCCAAGCAAACCAACCCTGCTGACACATTGTTCTTGAACAACTAGCCTCTAGAACCATTAAATAAAATAGGTTGTTTAAATCACCCAGTCTGAGATATTTTGTTTTGGCAGCCCTAACAAACACATTCTCTAAGAGTTTATTCTCATTTTTGGTTTAGTGCATTTCAGAGGATGATTAGAGCCTAATCCTCCCCCTCTTCTGGTGGCCTCTCTTCTCTGTACTCTTCCTTCTTTTGTCTCACACAGGCAGATTTGTTCCAGCTTCCTCACCTAGATTATGAGCTTCACATATTCTCCTTTCTTCTGGCTCCTGGTTCCCTCATTAGTCTTTCTGTTATTAACTCTATTAACTCGTTAAACTATCTCTCCACCTCTCCAAACTTGTGTTAACTCTGGCACTCCATAAATGTTAGTCAAATAAATGAAAAATCACACTAACTCCTCTTTCCTTCCCTCTCACTCCAAACTCTTGGTGAGATTCTTTTGCATTTGTTCCCTTGTTTCCTCATTTCTCACTCACTTGTCAATCTCCTGGTTCTTGGTTCTTGATTCTCCTCATTACATTGAAACAGATCTAAAAATGCGAAGTAAGACCACAGCCATTGCTATCATTGCTCTTTGAGAATTAATAAAGCTCCCTTTTCCTCTGAGACAGCGAGCAGAGTGAACAGAGGGCATACTGGTTTCTGCCTTTGGCTGCACCGCCATCCCCTGAGGCCAGGCTTAGGATTTTATGATTCTCAAAGTCAACTGTCTCTTCTCCTCCTCATCCTTTAAGAACTGCCTGCAGTATATGACACTGTTGAGAGCTCTCATACCCTTTAAACTTTCTCTTCTCTGGCTTTCTGAGTTTTCCTCCTACTTTTCATGGCACTTCAGCAATGTTTAAGCATCTCTCTCTCATACCTACTCCGGAGATAAAGTCAGTCATCAAATTCCTATACTTAACCCCTTGTCTCCTAACTCTTTGGCCACTAATGTTTTAGAAACATTCTCCTGACAACTACCACATCTTTGGAGATTTTGATCTCCAATGCTATGTCTCTCTGAGCATCAGCCTTGAGTTTTCAATTGCATATTTATTAGTCGTTTCCATATGGACATCTCACTGAATCTGGCATATTGAACATGTCTAAAATATGTATGTTTACATGTTACATGTATGTTTGGTATGTGGGAATGCATTACATTCCCACAGATTTATTCCCAGTTATGGTGTTACTGTTCTAATCAGTCAGACTAGAAAACTCAGCGCTATCTATGAGTCTTCCTCTCACTCAAACTGCATATATGATCTATAAACAGGTCCTGTTGACCCTATCTTCTAAAAATCTCTTACATGCTCCTTTTTATATCATTGGATAATAGTTTAGTGTAGTCGTTAATATCATGGACACTAAAATCAAATCTATTAGGTTCAAATCCTGAGTCTCCTACTATTTAGTCATTATGAAACCTTACGAAACTTAATCAACTTTTCATCTGTAAAAATGGGGATTATAATGGTGATCCACTTTATGTGACTGAAAACCAAATACATGAATACATGTATAGCAGACATTAACCATATGCTTAGCTGACCTACTTGCACCTCCTAAGCGACCAGAAGAGCTATATTTCCTGGCTCCCTTGCATCTAAGTGGGGCCACAGAATGTGAGCAGAAGTGTTGTGTCCCCTCTACTCAAAGGCAATTAAAAAGAAGACATACTTTTCTTATGTTCTCATTGCCAGTGAACATACTACACAGATCTCAACCTCAGCATTCTCTGCACACTGACATTTCCAACATAGATTCATGAGAAGGAAAATTTGTGCAATTTCAAAGATTTAGTGATACTATTGTTTGGATATTGGTCCCCTCTAAACCTCAAGTTGAAATGCGACCCCAATTTTGGAGGTGGGGCCTAATGGGAGATGTTTGTGTCATAGAGGTGGATCCCTCACAAATAAATTGATATTCTTCCCTGCAGGGAGGGGAGGATGCGTGAGTTCTCACTGTATTGGTTCCCATGAGAGCTGGTTGCTAAAAGGTTTGGCACCTCTCCCCTCTCTCTCACCCTATGATCTCTGCACACACCACTCGCCTTTGCCTTCCAGAGTGAAAGCAGTCTGAGATCCTCACCAGACGCAGATGCTGGTGCCATGCTTCTAGCCTAATAAACCTCTTTTCATTATAAACTACCCAGTCTTGTGTACTCTGCCATAGCAACACAAATGAACTAAGACAAGTGATAAACACAATATAACATGTCTTAAAGGCAATATTGATGCCTGAAATTCCACATTGAGGCATTTTTTTTTTCTCTTTGTAGGCTGATAATGGTAAACACTTTCTGACACCTTAGGATGGATGAATTTGTAAGAAATATTCCTGGAAGCAGGTTTGTACAGAGTGTAGAGAAAATGTTGGGCAACAAAGCAGGAATGGAGGAAGGTTAGTCAGAGAGCCAAAAAGAGCAAACTGAAGGCTTTTATAGTTTTGTCTGCTGTGGTGCATGAAATTACATCCCCCCAAAACATATGTTCAAGTCCTAACCACAGGTACCTATGAACATGAGTTTATTTGGAAATAGAATCTTTGCAAAATGTAATCAAGTTAAGATGAGGTGACGCTGGATTGGGGTGGGCTCTAAATCCAATGACTGGTGTCTTCATAAAAGAAAGGTTAGGGAGATTTGAAGATAGCAAAGGAAACGCAGGGAAGGAGACCATGTGACAATGTAGGCACAGATTGGAGTGTTGCAGCCAAGTCAAGAATGCCAAGGATTGCTGGAACCACCAGAAGCTAGGAAGAGCCAAAGGATTCTTCCCTAAAGCCTTCAGAAGCAGCATGGCCTTGGTGGCATCTTGAGTTCAGAATTTTAGGCTCCAGGACTGTGACAGAATAAATTTCCATTGTATGCCATCCAGTCAATGGTACCTTTTACAGCAGCCCCAGGAAACTAATAATACGCCTGCTCAACACCTTACCCTCAATTTTAAGTTCATTTTATGGGGTCATTTTGAGTTTGGAGTTTGATTTAATCTTTTTTAGTAAATAACACTCTTCATTTCCCCCCCATATACGTCACAGTGACTGTACTCTTACAACAATTCTATTTATTTATTTTCTGGCAATGGGGCTGCCACCCCTTGCAGAATGAAAAGTAGAGTGTGTATGCTCACACCTCCAAAAGTGGGGGAACCCACTCCCCTTACACTTTGCTGTTTCATGAGAGCTTGCAGACTTTTTATTCATGTCACTGGCAAAAATCGTTTTACATAAACTGTATCTCAATCTATTGCAGTATTGGCACAATTTCTAATATTGTCCCATAAATAATAACACAGAAATTATTTTCTTTTTTTAGTCTTGCTCTGTCGTGCCCAGGCTGGAGTGCAGTGGCACCATCTCGGCTCACTGCAACCTCTGCCTCCTGGGTTCAAGCGATTTTCCTGCCTCAGCCTCCCGAGCAGCTGGGATTACAGGTGCCCGCCACCAAGCCCGGCTAATTTTTGTATTTTCAGTAGAGACGGGATTTCACCAAGTTGGTCAGGCTGGTCTCAAACTCCTGACCTCAGCTGATCTGCCCGCCTCGTCCTCCCAAAGTGCTGGGATTACAGATGTAAGCCATCGTGCCTGGCCCACAGAATTTCTCTAAAAGTCATTGTGTTCAATCTATGAATCCTCTGAATCCCACCTGCTCGGCCTCTGGGAGCTAAATGATATCTCTTGAAGGTCGACTGCTGGGTGGTTTCAAGGTCACCTCCGAGGCTCACCTCATAGGCAATCAAATGGATCTCTGTTTTTGTTTGTTTGTTTCGTTTTGTTTTTTTTACAGAAAAACACTGCACCAAGAAGGTTCTTATGACCTCGTGGAGAAGGAGGACAGAAAGTGGGCATGAAAGGGACTAGGATGAACATGCCATAAGCAATCTAAATGCCACTGCGACCTTGCCTGGTGTGGACCTGGTTACTGATGTTTTAAAGCTAAGCTTTCAGTTGTCACTCCACCCAGTAGTTAAACAATGAGCTCTAAAGAATCTATTTCGGCTCAAGATGTCTTATGTGGGGAGGTAGTCCAGCACCAAGTTATCCCCAGCCTGTGCCTAGTACAGTGCCCAACACTAAAGCAGTTCAGATGCCAGTAAATGGTGGTGGCCACTGGGAGGCCTGTCTGTGGGTGCCAGTAGTGGTCTCTTCCGAGAAAAAGAAAACTCCCCTCTGCCAGATCAGTATTTTATGCGCTGTGAACCAAATACATTCCTACCACCATCACTATAATTCTATCCACAGTAATTATCATAAAGGCCTAACAATATCCTGTAGATGAATGTTCTGAGTAAGTGTCCCATAACCAGGAGATTTAAGACTGCACCAAAACCAGTAGAGGTTACTTCACTGGACACAAGTCGGTTATCTAAATTCTAGTTTAATCTGCGAAGAGATTTCAGTGTAACTGAAACACACTTAAATGGAATATACAGATGAGCTTTATTTTTATATCTGGCATGCTTGGATCCATGCCGACCCTCCAGCTGCTTGGGCCTGCCCTTAGGGTCTCTGGACCGCATGACTCTTATCAGCTGCACCGCCGCCGCCTCCGCGCCGCCTGCGTTCCCGGACTATTGGGCCCGGCAGGCGCTTCCTGGGGGCGTCCCTACCGGCTCCAGCCCTCGGGGTTCGGGAGCGCCCAGCTGGGAAGCCAGAGCCCTGCAGGGGACAGGGGCGTCCTGGCCGCCTAACGCGCGCCCCTCGCCCGGCGCCCCGAAGCGGCCCCGAGGGGCGGGAGCCGAGCCCAGAAGCGAGGCCAGGCCGGGGGCGCAAGGCGCCCCCATAAATGCGGGCTTCCCCCACCCCCGCCAGCGACCCCACCTCCCGCCCCCGCTGCGTGCGCGCGTGTGTCCGTCTGTCTGTATGCTCTCTCGACGTCAGTGGGAATTTCCAGCCAGGAAGTGAGAGAGTGAGCGACAGAGAAAGAGAGAGAAGTGCACCAGCGAGCCGGGGCAGGAAGAGGAGGTTTCGCCACCGGAGCGGCCCGGCGACGCGCTGACAGCTTCCCCTGCCCTTCCCGTCGGTCGGGCCGCCAGCCGCCGCCGCCCTCGGCCTGCACGCCGCCGCCAGCCCCGCTCCCGGAGCCCAGCGCCGCCGAGGCCGCAGCCGCCCGGCCAGGAAGGCGGCGCCGCCGCCCGGCCACAGCGCGCCCTGCGCTTCCCTCCGCCCGCGCTGCGGACATGGCGCGGCGCTGACTGGCCCAGCCTGGCCCCGCTGCGCTCTCTCTCGCCCCGACCCACACCCGGGCCCGCTCGGGCTCCGGCCGGCCGCCGCCTCTTCCTTCTCCAGCTTTTAGGCCCGCGCCGCCCGGGAGGGAGAGCCCACCCGCGACAGAGGCCGAACGCTGACTCGCCACCCGGGTAAGCCAAACTCGGGCGAGTGGGGACCCGGCAGGGGACGCGTGGCCCGAGTCCCGCCACCCAGCCCTCCGCACCCCTCCAGCCCCAATCGGACTTCCTTATTCCTGCGCTAACCGCTGGGCTAGACCGTGGGAGAAGGTTGACAGTAGCTGGGAGGCACATGGGATTGGCGACAGCGGGGAAAGGCACATCCGGACCTCGCAGGGGCTAGTCGGCCGGAGGGCCGCGGCCGCCGGGCGGTCATTTCTCTTCACGTCCCTCCGCGCATCCGGACCTCACAGGGGCTACTCGGCCGAAGAGCCGTGGCCCCCGGGCGGTCATTTCTATTCACTTCCCTCCCCGGGGCGGGAACGCGAACCGGAGGGGGAACTCTTACAAACTTTTAAAATCCCCAGCCCCAGCCCCAGCTGGGGGATGGTGAGAAGATTGTAGGTGCGCTACGGCGCAAAGGAGAGAGGGAAGGTGGTTGGTGCAGTGCAGAACCAGATTTCACCTAAGGGCGTTCCATGAAATGAAAGCAGAAGTCCTTGTCAGTCCTCTTGGCTGGGAAAGCCCTCTCCAGCTCCCCAGAATTGAATAGGAGAGTCTATTCATCCCTCTGCTACTTCTAAAAGAAGCCTGTCCCTCCCTCCCTCCCACCCCCCACCCCTCCACCACACAAACGATATAGTCACCTGCTATAGGACTTGATTCTGATCCTCCGGGGCCTGGCATTTGAGAGAGAAAAGATATTACCTACTTGCATACTTAGAGCACTTTTTAGACTTGATTATGTAAAACTCTTGGACAGAGTCACCATGCATTGTGCATGACCTCCAAAACAAAAAATAATGTAAAAACAACGCCTAACCTAAATGTAAGTTTTCCTATGGTCCTTAAAAACACACACCAGGGGATGTTTGCCCCAACTTACTGGTCTATCCTGAAACTCAAATGGGACTTAATGATACAGGATTTAATTATCAAGATTTAAGACATTTTCCTGAACTCTGTTAAGTAGAGGTTTTCAGCATTACAGTTTATGAACTAACTGTATTTAACTCAAATATTTTGTTATAAAGCTCATAATCTGAGAAAATGCTTATGGTATTACTAAAACATTGAATAGCTCTGGCATCAAAATATTCTTCTACACACTGGTGATCTTTAGTAAATACTAAAGGTTGGGGTCATGATGTTCAACACGTTTTTTTTCTAGCAGAATACCGCAACTGAGTATTGTCAAGCAGTTTAAAATGCATTCCTGTTTGTTAAAACTTTAAAAGGGAAACTTAAAACTGAAGTATGTTTTTTTTCCTGATTTTAATACTGTGCTTTCTAGAGGTGAATCCTTTTGCTGTTTGAGGCACTATAGGAATTATGTATTTAAATGTATGTATTTAAATTTGGAGCAGAGTACTTTTTTGAGTTTATAAACTTGGGAAAGCAGGAAGTAAAAATATTTGTTTCTTGTAGAATTTTACCTTCATGATTTAATTGAATTGCTAAAATGAAAAGAACTTATTTGATTAATGGAGACATGACATCTGAGATTATTCATCCATATTGATATACCTGCAATTCCTAAATACCCTCCCCTGCTTGTTTAGATAAAATGTCTTACTGGGCTACAGCCTGCTGGACAAACTTGAACACAAAGGAACACATGTTATATGTATGTTTAATACTGCTGCTTGCAGTGAAAAACCACTTCTAAACTCTTTGAGGCTTTTTAAAGAAAACAGTATAATCCTGGGTTGGTGGTGATTTGAAAATTATTATCTTTTTTTTTTTTTTTTTTCTTATTTTTTATGTTCTGCATTTTTACTCACTTGTGCTGAGTAAATGCCCCTGTGTTGCAAACCCAGGTAGTAAATATGGGGGTATACATACAAAAATAGTCCTTCCCCTTTGTAAGCATTGCTTTGATCTTTGCACTTCCTTTTTACTCTACCTCTTAAACAAGATCTGTGATGATTGAGTTGATTAAAGCACAATTAATCTGAAATAGGCAGAATTTTAGATTTAGTGATCATATTCCTTACATTTCTCTTGTTATTGTTCCTGGAAACAAATTGAACTAACTTGAGAAACTTATATTTATGCAGGTTGCTTTAACCACACTTTTAGACTTGCAGATAATTGATGAAGTAAGTTACCACCTTGATTTTCAGGAATTGCACATTGTGGTAGATAAAAGGTATAGATAGGGAATTGACAGCTACATGAATCTTGGATGATCATTCCATCAGCAAGATCTTATTTTTACTTAATTTATGAGAGGTATTTCTCTGTTCAGAGGAGGTGAAAGTTCTGGCCTCTGGGGGAAGTGGTTGCTTCATAACCTTCAGTTGGTTTGAACTTGGGAGAAGTAAGAAAAGTAGTTGATTTTTCAAACAATAACATAATTGTATCTGAGTTGCTATATAGATTTTTGATAAAGTACTCAAAAATGTCATCTTTTTCATCTTCAAGTCTTAGTAGATGTGCTTTTCTGAGCATAGAATTGACTGCAGTAGGAAGTGTATCTGGAAATGCACAGTACTGTTGTATAACCAATCAAGTAAATACTCAGATTATGCTCTTCTGGTTCACAGATTGATCAGAAATCACATTAACAGGAATAGAAATATATGAATCAATGGCTATGCAAAATTTCTCATTAACGCTTTTACTTTTAGTAGGAAGTTTGTTTTAGTCGGTTGGTCTGTTGGTTTTCTGTTTACAATGTGAATTTTCTACAGTAGTGGGATTGTTACATTAGAAGAGGAGAAGGAAAAATAGAAGTTAGTGCTAGAGGACACATTAAGATGTTCTGCTCCTACGTCTACATTTCTGTCTAATCAGCATTAATTGATGACTGTGTCTTGGTAACCAGTAGACCATACTGGAGCAATTTACTCTGCTTTTTGGGAATTAGTTCTCATTTGCACTCTTGCACCTCCCATAAATACTGAACTCACTTGTAGTGTTCTTAGAGGTGAGCAATAAACTATCAGGAGTATGTGATGTCTCTTTGAATTCTGTCACTACTTTGGAGACAGAGACTTTTGAAAAACTGGAGGTACTCAGCCTCACAGAGAAAGGTGTAAATGTTTTGGCATAGCCTTGTGAGTCAATTTGGTTCTTTGACTGTGAATTTTTTTACTCAAAAAAGAGTAATATTTGAAACCACATAATTTGGTACAGTTCTGGTAACATAACCAAACCATTTATCTTCATAATATTTCATTAATTAGTATCCAGTGCCTCACTTTCAGAAGAGAAAAAAGTAGTGACATTCTTTTAATGATGATGAAATTACTTCATACCTTTGGTCTCTGCTCTACTGGAGGTGGTTCCTGGGTGCAAATTAATATACTGTCTTTTACATTTCTGGAGGTTGTTGACCTGTCCTTGAAGATCAGCTAACAGTTTAGAAAATAAGTTGTGCAAATTACATTGCTTCACCTCAAATAATTTAAAGCCTGACAGTTCTGTACAAAATAAGAGTCACATAAGATGAGAATTGTTAAAGATTATAGAAATCTCAAAAGATAGATTATGGATGAAAATATTTGTTTAATTTAGAGTACTACTAATAGAAAGTGTATTTTACATTAAAAAATAATTTTTATTCTCATATTTTCTGTAGTAACACAGATTTAATTATCAGTAATACAGATTTCATCTGCTTTAATGTACTGCCTGTTTTTGAAATTAGAATAATCATATATTTGGTTTAATTATCCATTAGAGATTGCCCTATCATTTTTCATTTCTTCTACCATTAATCCAGAAACCTTAAAATGGCTTTTAGTTTGACCCTTGCTTTCAGTAGATATCAACAGACTTGAACTCACTATGATCCTATTAAACTGTGAAAAATTTTAGCTGATTGAGCTTTAAAAAAGAATTTATGTATTCTGTATGGCTTATTCTTTAAAATAGCCAAATTATAAACAATGAAATAAAAAAAAAAAGGAAAAGCTATTTGAGAGAATCATATTCTATAGTTGAACTAAAAAGAAATAACATCTAATCTATACTGACAAAAGAAATATCTGATGCTCAGCATTGTATTTGGTACATAGTAAGCAGTCAATAACTGTTTAATGAATGACATGAAGTTGTTGCATTTTGTTTTTTTAAATGGATAGCCATCTTCTATAAGGAACAATAATTATATTATTTTGCTTTGCCTTCTGGAAAGAAAGGAGCCCAAAACAGTCCTTGCATACTAGCTATTATGGAACTCTTATCTAAAAAGCACTTGAAGTTTACTAGAACAAATCATTTATTAAAAAGTACCTGGAGCTTTCCAAAAGGGGAACGTTTCATTCTGAAAGAGGCATTTATGAACAGGGGGAAAAATGCCTTTTAGTTTCAAAGTTTCAGAGGCACCAGAGCAAGATAATAAATTAACTGGAATGATAAAAGGTGTTTGTACAATTGAAAAATGTAACTTCTTGGTGAAATTAGAATTTCTGTACACTCCATTGAAACTGTAATATCAAATACTAATACCTCAAAAAAGAAACAATGCTACAAGCACTGCTTGGTAATCTAACAATTGTTAACGCTTATCTAAATTAATCAACCAAAAAGTTAAAACAAAATATGTTATGACCTCTAGTATTAAACACCTATCACCCGTAAATCTGTGACTGTTGAGAGTCACTAGACGGCAAACCTCAGGAACAAGCAGGCAGTTAGCAGGGTTTACTGTACTTTCCATTTTCATACTTAATGATTTTTGTAACACTATAGAAGCTGAGGCCTCATCCTGGCAGAGCTTGTTCATTATTTTTCAGCTGTAGTATTTTTTAGAAGTTGGCCTTAAAATTCTGAATTGAACCATTTGTTCTTTGTGGACACAATTTTTGAAATGAAATATACCATCTGGATGAGAAAAGGGCAAAATGCCAATACTCCCTGTCCCTACTGTGCCCTCTTGGAGCCCTAATGCAGCCCTTGTGGGAAAACAAACCATTTTATTGAATGCTGCTCACTTCAGTCCAGTCTGCTTTGCTGCCATTTAATTCTGGTTCTGACCCTGATCTCCCCTCATATCACTCACAAAAAACATTCAAATTTAAAAATTAATTTAAAAGTTAGTTACATATATATGTAACTGTGTATATTAAATATACTGATATATATTAGTTATATATATAGATATGGCAACAAAAAAAGATTATATATTGGCATATTTGTAACTAACACATATATTGAAGATAATATATATTAAATATAATGATATATATGTATATATAGATATATTTT